TCCAGAGCTTGAGATCTGTTAACTTAAGGGTTACAGAAGTTTTGAAATAGTTAAAAGCTTCAGTTCAGTTACACTTAGTTTGAGGAGTGGGTAGATTACACATAAAACCAAGACAATCATTGATTATATTGTACCTCTTTGAGGTTTTCCCTAATTTTTTCTCTGTTTTGAGAAGTGGTCTATAGTAGCAGAACTTATTTTTGTTATCCATAAGGGTTTTTTTTTTCTTTTTTGCCTCTGCATGCATTTGCTAATGAACTAAAAGAATGTTTATCTCTGTGTAAAAGCTGGATAGGGCTCTATGAAGTTTCTTTTCTGCTAGCCACTGGAATGCTCTATGGTAATGTGTGGCATTTTACTGGGAGGTATGAAAAACATGCTCTTATGACATTTAAACGTGGGTTAGTATTCATATTCTGCAGTATTGCACTGTACAGTCTGAAAAGACTTGAACAGAACAGATAATTTCTTTCATTTTAAAATACATTTCTATTTACAGCTATGCTACATTTAGTAACAGCTTTTCACATTTGTATATATGAAATTTGTGTAGTATGCAACTGATCCTTTAGAATTAGTTTGCTTTCCTATTACCTGTTCTGTCTCCCCTCCAGATCTTTCCTTTGATTCCTTCTCCTTTGTTCTCCCCCGCCTCTCCCTCTCTTCTTCATTTCTAGCTCTTCACTTCCATCCATGATAAAGTTAAAGCAATGAAAAGCTATATATTTTCTTATATAATCAGCGCTAGTATTTCATTGTGCCAAACTTTTATGTTTTACCAGTTAGATATAACAATTTTAAAGCCTATCCTGAGCACATTAATTGCGCCTACCTCTTGATTATCACAGCTGTGTTAAGTTTCTTTGTGTCTGAAACTTTTTCGTGTATTTGTTATTATTTAGAAATATTTTATCAACCTTGGTTTCTGAAAATGAGATTCAAGGGCACCAATTCATTAGTGTTAAAATGTACTATATCCTCACAAACCAGTGTGAAAATTGATAATGAATTTTATTAATTAAAAAATTGATGGATGAAGAAAGATGTCTTTTTTATGTTTATTTTTGTGTTTTGGAGACATGGTCTCCCTGTGCAGTTGAGACTGGCCTTGAGCTCACTTTGTAGCTCAGACTGGTCTGGAACTCACAAGGATCCTCCTGCCTCAGCCTCTTGAGTGCTGGGATTACAGGCATGTGCCACCATGCCTGGCAAAAATCTCTTTTTTTAAAATACTTTTTTTTTTAACTTTGCAGAAGTTGTTGATTGATATCAGTTGTAAGAAATAATTCTGAGAAATTCTATGCACTTTACAAAGTTCCCACTGGTGATATCTTGCAAAACTGTATGACAGTAACACAACCAGGATACTGATAAAATATAGAAAATTTCCATCACCACAAGGATGTCTCTTTTTTCTCCTCTCTTTTTGATATAGGTCTTGCTAGAAGTTTAAGCTGGCCTTGAGCTCACTATGTAGCCTAAACTGGCTTGAATTCGTAACTGTCCGCCTGCCTCAGCCTCTCAGGTTGCTGAGACTACAAGTATATGCCACCACACACAGTTAGGCTCTCTCTTCTTGCCCTTTTCTAGCCCACATCCACCTTGCCTTATTTCTTTACTACCCAACACCAAATTTTGTCAGCCACTAGTCTGTTCTCTATTTCTATGATTTTATCATTTTAGGAATGTTATCTAGTGCAAACATCCATGTACCACAGTTTAACAATTTACCAGTGGAATTTCTGTGTTACTTCTAGTTTTTAGCTATTACAAATGGTCATGCATGGCCACATTTTTCTGTTTTCCATTTCTCTGTGATAAATGCCAAGAGTGAAATTGTCCTGATAAGATTGTTGCATGTTTTGTTTCTTAAGAAACTGCCAAAATGTTTTCCAAGCTGACACTGTTTTATACCCCCAATGCAAACTATGAGTGTGATTTTCTCTTCATTCTTGCCTGCATTGAGGGTTGTCACTATTTTTTTTTTAAGACACTTTGATAGATTTGTGGTACTATTGCCTTGTGATTTCAGCTTGAGTTTCCTGAAGGATAATAACATTCAACATCTGTTACGTTTACTGCTGTTTGTACCTCCTCTGGTGGAATTTTTTTAAGCCTTATACTCATTCTATAATTGTTTAGTTTTTATGCTATTAAGTTTTGAATATTTTTATATAATTAAATACTGGCCTTTTGTTGTATTTGTAGTGTGCAGTATTTTCTCCCTGTGTATAGCTTGGTTTTTTTCATCTTATTATTAACAGAATCTTTAGCAGAGCAGATAAATTTTGGTGAATTCTAGCTTGTCACATTTCAATTTTATTGATTATGCTTTTAATGTCAATAAGATATCAAGTCAATGTCAAGTATAAGAACTTTTTGTCAGTCCTAGAGTCTAAAAATGTTCTCTCATTTTTTCTAAACTTTTATTCTGAAAGTTTTTTAGGGCATAGTGGCACAAACCTGTAATCTCAACACTCAGGAGGCTGAGGCAGGAGGATCATTCCAAGTCTGAGACCAGCCTGGGCTACAAAGTGAATTCAAGGCCATCTTGAACTGCATAGCAAGACCTTGTTTCAAAAGACCCAAAAAGAAAAAAAGTTTTTTATTTTATGTTTAAAATCCAAGATCTATTCTACATTAATTTTTATAAGTTAGATGATATCCTTAAAATTTTTTTTCTGTATCTTACTATCCTTAATCAGTATTTCATTCATATTTCATATAACTAATAGCTTTACAAATTGAGTAAATGAATAATCTGATCAGTTATTTTGGGTCTCAGTTTGTTTTTAGTGTATCTTTAGTATTAAAAAGATACACTTAAGATGTAACAAACTAGAATTCACCAAATTAAAAGGTGCAATAAAGAAGTTAGAGATAAAACTGCCTCATTTCAGCACATAGCATTAGTGTTGAGAATCACTTCAGGGGACAACTAAGAGTTCAGGCTGGATTCCATCAACCTAGCATAGAACTGGCTCTTTTATATTCCATCTGATTAAGCAACATCACTAGTCCTCAATTTCCTTACTTATAATAAGTAAATTATAAAATCATTGTGATCATATCGTGTGTGTAAGGCTTTTAGCTTAAGTGCCTGGCACAGAATAAGTACTTAGTAGTTTTGCGTGTCTGACATTGGTAGAGGGGTAGGGGGAGGCAGTAGGAGGAGAGGAGATCCTGATCGTTTAGGCAGTGGACGCTGGATTAATAGAGACAGGAGTTCTTGCCCCAGAGCAAAACAGCATGCACTGACTCTTAAAGAACTGAGCATGCTAACAAAACAAAAACAAAACAAAACAAAAAAAGGAAGACATATTTAGGATAAGCAGGAGAGCATGAACAAAAGTAGAGGGCATGAAAGGCTGGCTATGTTAGTGCATGTACTAGCACACTCATTTGATAGGAACAGTGTTTGACGTAGGATTTTGGAAGCAATAGGTATCTGATGAGGCTGGAGAGGTAGGCAAGGGCCCATTCATGGAAGGCACTAGACTGTTTTCAAACCCAAAAGGAGACACTGAGGAGCTTTCTTAAAGGAGAGAGTGACACAATCAGATTTTCATTTGTTGCCCTGTTGTAAAGTGGATAAAGAGGGCTGGCCAGATAGCTCAGCGGACTAAAGCGCCTGATTGGTAGAGCGCAGTGGCCAGGGTTTGATCCCCGACGTGCAGTGCTGGCCCTGCCTCTGGGGTGTGCTGAGACAGCCACTGAGACTGGGTGTGGTGGCGTGCACCTGTAATCCCAGCGCTTGGGAGGCTGAAAACAGGAGAATCACTATGAGTTTGATCTGTGTAGTAAGACCCTGAACACCCTGTAGACCCTGTCCCAAATTCATAAAAAAAAATAAAAAAATAAAGTGGAGAGAGAAACTAAGAACCTCTTTTACAGGTCAGTGATTAAGAGTGCAATATCCTTGTCCTTATTTCCATATAATAAACTTGTGTCTCCCCCAGAGCTGCTTTTCAAGAACCAGGAGACAGGTTTGGGCATGTAAGAAAGAGGAGCTCTTGTCCAAAGGGCTGTCTTCTCTGGCTCAGACAAATGGCACTGCATGGGCCCTTCTGTTTTTGTAGGCTAGTTTTAATTGCTTCTGATCACTTCAGTCAGGACACCCACATAATAAAGACTTTTTAAAAAAATTTTTTTGAGACAGGCTCTCACTGTGTAGTCTAGGGTGGTCTTGAACCCAGTATGTAGTCCAGGCCGGCATCTAATTCATTGTGATCCACCTGCCTCAGCCTCCCAAGTCCTGGGATTATAGGAAGGTACCACCACAACTGGCTAGAAAAGTCATACTTTAAACTTATATATTACTTTTTTTAAAATCAAGGTACCATGAGGCAAGAGGAGTAAAACAAAGGGGACAAAATTATTAGTAGCAGGTCTAAGGAAAAAGGAATTTGATTATTTTTATTTATTTATTTATTTATTTTTTATTTTATTTTTGTGGCCGGTTCAGCCCACCCTGGGAGTGGGGCTGGCATGGCATGTGGTGCGAGGGATTGAACCATGGTCCCTGTGTGCTTGCCTAAGCTTGCCTAAGCAGGTGCTTTAGACCACTGAGGTACCTTACTGGCCCGGGAATTTGGTTCTAACAGTTTACCAAAATTCTGATTTTATTTTCCTTCCTTGTTTGTGAAAGTTTAATTTTTTTCTGGAATGAAGCTAAAAAGTAAAAAGAATTATAAAAATTCAATTCTATCATATTTGCTACCATCTTATATTCTTTTGTGTCACTATGTTTACTGCTGTAAGAAATGGGCTCTTGACTGGTCCAGTTTCCTACACTACAAACCCTGTGGGAAGGAACTGCATTCATTTTGTGAACTTTGTGTTTGAAAGCATAACTTGTTAAAGATCAATGAAAACAGTTAAATCAATGTTTTGTATATTTTAAAGAATGATACTATCTCTGCATGTATGTGTGCATTTCACACACTGTACAATTCCCCCACTAAAGTGTACAACCTAATGGTGGTTTGTTTCTTCAACAGGGAAAAAAGGATGTGACCCAGATTTTTAACAACATCCTGAGGAGACAGATAGGCACCCGGAGTCCTACTGTGGAGTATATTAGTGCTCATCCTCACATCCTATTTATGCTGCTCAAAGGGTAGGTTCCCGGCTTCCTCTTAAAGTATTTGCTTTTAAAGTAGTTACTGGAAGTACATAAGATGGGGTTGTAGCTGACTGCTGCAGTGCTTCTGCAGTGTATGGAGTTCTGGGTTGAATTCCTGACACCACACACACGAAACAGGCAGCATTAGCCTCACTGGTAGTGTGGTCAGTTCACTTTGGAACCACAGGACAGCTGTTTATCATTCTTAAGGGCTGCCTCCAAATCTGTGTCTCTAAGATTACTTAAGCTATATAGCAAAATCCTTTGTTTTCTCCTTTCTATTTCTAAATATTATGTTCCATTTATCACCCCTCATTTCACCAGTTTTCTACCATTTCTTTTTATTATAATATTGTTTGTGCCTCCTACTGTGCATTATTCGTAGCTATGCAGTTGCGTGAATCGGAAGTCTCTCATTATACACAGGCACGTGTGCGTGTGCGCACACACACACAGACTTTCACATACACAGGTTCTGAAAGCTCAAATAATAAGTACAAGAATGTTTTTAGTAGCTAGCGCCTGCCAAAGTGACATGCTTCTACATGGGAGAAACTAAATGTCACTGTATATATGTAATGGAGGAAACAGGAAACTGAAGTGATGCCAGATAGTAGAATCTTTGATTTTTTTTTTTTTTTTTTTTTG